TCAGCGTATGTGATGGTGGTAGCGTCTATCCTCCTCCACTCGGCGTTGGCCCATTCCAACGCCTTGCCGGAAAGGCAGGAGATGAGGGCGGACACGCTCTCGTGTCCCAAGGGCGCCGGGTGCACGGTGGCCAGGCATAGCTCCACCTGGAGAAGGAAGCCCTGACACCCGGCAGCGGTCCCATCGTAGGCCCTCGGGAGCGAGAGTCAAATTCCCCTGGGTTCCGGAGCGGGAATGGGCTGACTGGCTGATGGTGATGGCAGGGAAGGTGGAGTTGGGGGTGTCCCTCGGGTCTCCCAGCGCTGAAGTGTGTTAATAACATCCTGCAGGGCGGTCCCGATCCGCAGGATCTGGTCATTCTGCTCCCGGACCCAATCCTCCAACGTCTCCTGTGCTGCTGCGGATCCTGCTGATTCCATTCGGAAGGTGTGTGATTCTGTCAGTAGGTGCTGTAGGTGGGTGTGGTGCTGGAATCAGGCGCAGGACGCAGAAAATAAGTCCAAAATACTTTAGTGAAGGCACAAAGAAATCCACGAGCCAAAAGCCCGGAGGCGAGAAAATCCGCACGCAGGCGTAAACAAAGGGCGCACTAAACATGTGCGATCAATACCCTCCTAAACAGAGGAGGAAAGCTATACAGAGCAAACGGTATACTGTAGAGCACAAACACGACAGTGAAACAATCACACACAACACCTGACAAACACAACGAGAACTTATAGGACACTAATGACGCTAAACGACAACAGGTGTACATAATCCAGACAAGACCAAACGAACATAGAAACATACAACGGTGGCAGCTAGTATTCCGGAGACGACGAACGCCGAAGCCTGCCCGAGCAAGGAAGAGAGGCAGCCTCGGCCGAAACCGTGACACCAATCAGAGCATCAAAGCCAATGACGAATTTTCTAAACGCCACTTTACCCACATGTGTTCTGACGATCATTAAATGTATGGGCTGTAGACTTGTTCATTTAGCTGACATGATATGCTTCTAAATCCCATGCCATTATTTTATATTACATTATTTTATAGTAAGAAGAATATAATTGAACTTAGCTGAATAAAATAGAAAGGATATTTTTCCCATTCCGGAGCGAATACGCATATGAAGTGGCTATGTTGAGCATAAAAGTGATAATTTGAAACGGGTCCTAGAGTGGCTTGCGAAAGTATTCACCCCCCTTGGTATTTTCCCTATTTTGTTGCCTTACAACCTGGAATTAAAAAGGGATTTTTGGGGGGTTTGTATCATTTGATTTACACAACATGCCTACCACTTTGAAGATGCAACATATTTTTTATTGTGAAACAAACAAGAAATAAGACAAAAAAAACAGAAAACTTGAGCGTGCATAACTACATCATTCTAACTATATGTTCGTGATTAACTCCGTTTTATCTCATAGTCCACTAAGAAATCCACCTCAGTTCCTGCAGCTACCCAGTGCTTAAATTGGGAAATCTGTTCGGGAACATCGATAGTAACATGTTTTCACAACCAAACATATTTCACAAAAATGTTGAGAGAAAAGACATGTCTTCAGTATGAATAGTGAATAGTGCCACTTTTCCTGCCGGCTGGTTTTTCATTCATACCAGGTTTCACTCCACACAGCATCCAATGGTTGAGGGGCATGCTGCCTCTCGTTACGCAACAGATGATAGTCCGCCCAAACTCTGTATGCCAAGGGATCTCCAACCCTGTTCCCAGCGCATCATTTTGGAAACCAGGTGAAATCTGTTCGGGAACATCGACAGTAACATGGTTTCACAACAAAACGTATTTCATTAAACTGTTGACAGACCCTCTCTCTCTGCGCGTTCGAGAAAGGAATGAAGGAGACAGGAGAGGAGATGGAAACGCATGGTGGTGAGATGTTCTGTAGCTAAAAGGTAATGTGTCAGCCTATTAGTGATTAATATATAGAAAAATACACTATTACTAGGCTATTCAAAATCAAATACAAATTCACTATAAATGTAGGCTAACTCTGTATGCATAATAACACAGTCCACACTCAAAGGCGATTACTAGAATGAGTTTAATTTTGGAGTATAGGCTAGAACAATTATGTACCAAAGACATCTTCAAATCAGGTATTTAAAAAAAATAATAAT